TGACTTTCGGCGCATTAAATTTTATTGCTGAAGACGTCCGCTTCTGTCGCGTTATGAACGAGGAAAGTGAAAACGGTACAAAAAATGCAATTTGTCATTTTTTGAGGTTTTTTATAGAGGTGGGAAGGAAAGTAAAATTGCTGAATGAAAATCAACTGGGAGTCAAAATTTTTTTATTTTTAAAATTTTTTTTCTAAAAAATTAAGGAGGGCCCACTAGGCTTGATCCGGAACAGGTAAAAAATTCTGATTGGCGGGGGTTATTCCGAACATTGGGGGCTTAAAGGCTGAGCCTAAACAAAGGCTCCCAGGAGCCTAGTTAAGGTCCGCAACGAACGATTTAAGCCAGGCTGGAGTAATAGACCCATAAAGAGGTCCGGCCGAACCAATAGGTCTATAAAACAGCCTAGATGGACTAAAAGCCGTACAAAAGAGTCGTTCTAGGCCAATAGACCTATCTAGGGTCAGGCTAGGCTAGTAGACCTATAAAAGAGCCTGGCCGGACCAATAGACATATAAAGACCCCGGGCTGCGCCAATACCCTTATAAAAAGACCGGGTCAAGCCTATTGAACCCTTTTGGCTCTAATAACAAATACTTCTGCCACTTCCTCTTTCCTCGTCGTTCTGTTTTTGATTTCGGATTTGTAACCTTTGGGAAATTAAAATTCTCCTCTTCACGACATGAGAAAGTTTAATAATCGGAAAGAGGAGTTCGATCCGTTTAAGCAGCGTGAAACACCGCTCAAAATGCCGTTTTTGGTTTTTCAACAAAAAATTTTTATGTTTGTTTTTAAATTTATTTTAAAATATATATATATTTTAGTTCATGAAAATGAAGATTGTAAACAAAGTTTTGACTGATTTTTGAGTTTTTATTGAAGTTTTTACAATTTTTGAAGTTTCTTTTTTTAAAAGGTTTAAAGGTTTTATAGAATTTTAATAGCGGTTGGTTCAGCTTTGGAAATTTATGGATTTTATAAATGATGAAAGGGCGTAAAAGCCACAAAATTTTTAGGCCGGTTTTGGGGGAGAAGATGTCGATTTATTTATCTCCGTTCATCAGCTTCCCCCTAGGGACTTTCCTGTGGCAAGGTAAGGCTTGAAGGGGGGATAACGTAGGGTCGTACAGGAAAAAAATCTTCTTGATTATTATTTTTTTATCTTTTAATTGTTCTTTTACCGTTTATTTTATAAAAAAAAATTTTTTGGTCCGGCCTTTTTGTAACTTTGCTTTGGCCTAGGTTGGGCTTAGAGGGTTCCGTTTCAAGGGTGCTCGTTATACAGAAGGTTCCTTATACAAAACTTCTACTGTGTCTTATCTTTTACCCTGCCCGTTTTTCTACTCTTACTGTGCAATTTTAATAACCGTCTTATCATGATATATCTCAAGTATTTTATCAAAAATCTAAAAAACATTTTTACTACATACAAATATATTATCTATCTCAATTTTACTGTCACTGTCATAAGCTCTAAAGTTGTAATTTAGTACTCTCAAAGGAAGAATAAAATACACTACGCCAATTCAGTGGACTGGTTTGTAAAGTAAATTAATGTAGTTGCGAAGAGATGGGAGCAGCTCGCCTTCTGAATTATATAATATCTGTGTCAGAGTTGGGTAATATGAGCTTGAGGTTCTTGGAATTGGGTGGGGGTATGAAATAACATTTTTCTTCTAATCTAGGATTGAAAATGACATTTTTATTGTTCATATAAGGTTTAAAATGGCATTTTTTATTAAAATTCACAGAAAAATGAAATCTTCATCTTAATATAAAGTTAAAAATTGCATTTTTGCTTCAAAACAAGGGTTGGAACGACATTGTATTCTTAACATAAAGTAAAATATTGGATCTCTGCTTTAATATAAGGCTTAAAATGACATGTTATCTTCAATGCAGGGTTAAAAATTGCAATTTAAAGTAAAATTTATTATGAGCTTACTTTAAAATATGAAACTTTTTTGGTTTTTAGAAACATAAGCAAGCCTTTTCAAGCTTTCCATATAATAAACAAGCCTTTCAGGTACCTTTCGATACAAATAGAAACTCGTTTTACATTTTCTTTGTGAAACGATTCCATAAAATAACTCAACACCCCTTTAGTAGACATTTGATGACGTCGTGACAGTTTCACTGTCAATGGAATGTCATCAATCCCAAATCCGGTAGATAGTTTCATTCTTCGAGCATTAACTTTATTCGAATTCAACTCGTTTTGCGCACAGCGGTGTGCCAGAACTTTCTTTACAGCCTCGAGCAAGTTTTTTGTCGGCGTTTTTTGGATCTTATTATGAAATACTAGGTTTTATTTTTTTAACTGAATATGTATATTTAGAATCTTAAGAGCGATAAAAAGTTACAGTATATTGTAAATTTATTTTTTAGAAAATTTGAATTCTAAATTTGGCGCCAAACTTTCGTTAAAAACGTAATTACACCAAATATTGAACAAAGTTTAAAGCACGACTTACATAAGATAAAAGAGCTTAAAAAGTTACATTGAAAACTATATATCAAATTAGTTTAGTCAGCTAGACACGGCCAGTCAAACAAAAATTACCTGACTATTAAAAGAAGTTCAAGCCAAAAAATACGTTTTTTGATTACAAAATGGACTTAAACGTTACATAAAAGGCATCTTTATAATTTAAAAAATGTTTTTCGATTTAAATAATGCCAAAACTTTATTTTGTTAGGCGCAAAACAATGTCACTCATGCAAAAAAGCGCTTTACTTGATACGGTTTTCGAACCAATCACCTTTCGCACGCCTATCTGGCCTTTTTACCGATCGGCCACGTAAACACTTAACGAAGTTTCTTGATTTCTTACCCAAAACGGAATAGAACAATCAAGAAGATGATCTTATGGTAAACTTTGCAACTTTTTATATATAACCAATCAAATAAATTTAAAAAGTTCAAAGAAATTTGCTTTAGGACAACTTTTTATTTTTTTCCTTTTGAGATAGGTTTTGTACTGTTGCCGGTACTAATTTCTTTATGAGGGAAGGGTTATAAAGGCATTTTTGTCTTAAAGCAGCTAGCTGCAGCTTCTTTACACCTGTAAACTGTAATTTTTATTTTCTTACTTGGAGTCTTACTTTTTTATATTTATTACCTAAAATTCTATAATTCTTAGTTTTACTACCTAAAATTTTATAATTCATTCCTTTGTTACCTAAAATTCTATCTTTCTGTTTTCTTAGCTAACTTTCTAGAATTCTTTGTTTTGTCACCTAAAATCCTAAAATTCCTTTCTTTGTTACCTAAAATTCCAGACTTCATCATTTCCTACACCCAACTGCTCATTCTCTTCATTTTTTATCTAGTAATCTGACTCATCCTCATTTTTTGCCCCTAAAACTATATAAGGATGTGATTGTCAGTTCAGATTGCCCAAGTTTGATTTGAGACGGCTTTTGTGCGTGGGACCGTGACGGGATCCTTTCAGCGCCCCAGGCGAAGACGGGGAATTTGAAAAGGAAAAACGGATAAAGGGAGGAGAATACTCGAATATCAAATTTTTGAAAACATTTTCATTGCCTTTGGAGGGGCAGGTTTGGATGGGTTATTTTGATTGGGCTGGTGTTTATGGGCATGTGGAGTTAAGCTTTTAGATTTTTGGGCTCTGAGGGTTGATAATTTTGAGTTCTGAGGGTTGATAATTTTGGATCCTGAGGGCGGGTAATTTTAAAAAATACTGAATGCGGTGGGTTGATGATATCTTGGTGCTATGGCCTATTCTATGTATATCACCAGGGCCGGGCGCGAGGGGGGGGACGGGGGGGATACCCCCCCTCCCAGAAAAAAAATTTTTTGAAAAAAAAGTTGAACGTGGTCCCTGTGGATTTTCGGAAAAAAATCTTCGCAAAAAATCGGCACGATTTTTTGGACCCCTGCCGTGTATATCACACTTGATATTATGGTCAATACTATATATGTATTAGCTTGTTGAAATAATTCTGTGCCCTTAACTTTAAAAATTTGCTTTGAGAAAGGGCACAGAATTTTTTGAGTAACCTAATTTATGTATTGTAGGCTCGATATCATGGTTATGCTAAAGAAATAAGGAAAATGTGGTATTGTCTAGTACTGATGGTATACTCAGGGCTAGAGAAACCATTTCGATTTGAGGGTAGATGAATAATGAAAGAGTGGACAATTTTTAAGAAAAATTTAGCGGCATTTTAAAAATTTAGATTTTTCAAAAATTTTTAACTTTAAAATTTGTTAATATGCAACAAGACAGTAAGCGATAAAAATATTATATTCGTAATAACAGGTTTTCTCTTTTGTAACGATTTTTTGACCGGGAAACGCTTCTAATTACAGAATAAGTAAAACACATAAAAGGTACGGCAAAAAGAAGGCTGCTTTTGATCACATCTTTCATTACACACTCACCAACGAGCTTGAAAAGTATTGTTTTTGGCTTAAAGTAGCTTTTGTTATTAAAGGGCGTCATATCCTTCTTACAAAAAAATATTACCCTTTCTTCCGTAGCCCTAGCCCTAGCCTTAGCCCTAGTCCTTGCCTTAGCTCTAGCCTTAGCCCAAGCCGTAGCCTAAGTCCCGATTCTAGCTTTGTCCAAAACTCTAGCCCAAATCCTACCCCTACTTCTACTTCTACTTTTACTCCTTCCCCTCCCACATGAGTTTACTGTATTTTTCATAACACGTACGTAAGCGTTTCGTTTACCAAGGTTCAAGATTTCGTATCGCAAATATTTTTTTTAATTGTTGAATAACACGATGAGTCTTGCGGCTTGTTGAACATCAAGTACACTATTTATATTGTCATCGAGTCAAAATTAACGATTTTAAAGTGGCGTGCCATCTTATTGTCGCGGGATTTGCGCAAAATGCTTCAGTCCGACAGACTTTAGCCATTTTGTAGTAGTTTTTGAATTTTTCGGTTTTTAAATTCGTAATTTTAAAAATTTTAATTTTTTAAAAATTGAATATTTTTAAAAGTTTAAAATTTTCAGTTGGGCAAAATGAAAAAACTTCAAACCACATTACTACTACTACTAATACTCAATATTCATCGCTCCTCCGCGTGTATTGGCGGAGGCGGCGGCGGAGCAGCGTGTTGTCCATCAGCTGCTGCTTCATGTGCTCCTTCGGTGCCTGTTTGTCCTGGTGGAAGGTAATTTTAATAGAGGTTTATCTTTACTTTACAGTTAGTCTGTAACATCCTTATTAGAGCCCTATTATCTTAGCTCTAAGATTACATTAGCCCTAATTAATCTTGTCATTTTCAGTTACGCCTCCTCCTACGCGGGTGGCTCCTACGCAGCTCCACAACAAAGCTACCCCCGCCCTCTACCAGCCCCATCACCAAGTGGGTGTGGTGGTGCCTCGACCGGTTGTGGAGCATCAGCTCCAGCACCACAAATTAGTATAATCTCCCCACCTCTCGCTCAACCACCCCCACCTCCACCACCACCTCCACATTACATCTCCTCGCCATCGTATGCTCCGCCACCTCCACCACCCCCGCCGGCATCGGCTCCAGTTGGCTCTAGTGGGTCTTATGCTCCTCAGAATCTACCGCCACCTGATCCGGCTAGCGAAATTGAGAACAGCTACGACGACTTCAGGGAGGAACATACTAATGGTGCTGGTGGGGTTTATGGCAAACCAAACAGTTATGATCAAGGATGTAAGTTAAGGACTGGGAAGGGGGGGGGGGTAAACTTCTATTTAGGTTTGGGGAGGGGGTACAAAAAAAAATTAAATGTTCTAGCTATATTAATATCCACCCCCAATATTCCAGCATATTCCCCATCAACCCCCGCCTCCACCGACTACACCGTGCAAGAGCCTCCGCCGCCTCCGCCAGCTCCGATCGACCAGAAACCGAGCTATGAAGGCAAAACGCCCGCCGACACCGGCTACACCTCCACCGTGGGCGACTCTACCGACGATGCGGCCGCGACCAACAATGTGAATGTTGAAGTCGATGAAGCATCGTTGAACTGCGAGGATTCTGAACTGCGGAAGATCGTGGAGACGTCGCTTGTGTCATCTGGAGACAATTTGGATGCGGCCAGGAAGATTGAATCCGAAGCTGCGGCCAAGTTCGGCGGCAGATTCAATTCGATCGTGTCGAATTCGGAATTTGCATATGTGAATTGGTATGGCAAAAGAAACTGTCAGTTGCGTGTGAACGATCGGCATTCATTAACGTGGGAGGATTAGGCTTCAGAAGGCGGATTACTTCAGAATAGTGGTTGTTACGGTGCCAATTTGGTTGGAGTACTACAAGAAGTTGTTATTCGTACTCTTTCAGTCTTACAGTGCAGTTTTAAAATCTTTCTATAGTCCAAAAATTTTTTCTAGCACTTAAATCTGAAAATAGTACCGAAATGCACATTCTAGTGCTAAAAGTTTGAAATAGTACCAAACCTTGTTTTTATGGTACTAAATTCGGAAAAAGTACCAAAAATTGTTTTTATATTACTAAGAGTTCGAAACTGTACCAAAAAGCATGTATTTAGTACCCAACTTCTGATAAAGTACCAAGAGATTGATGTTATCTATGCTAATATATTATTATTTCTGTATATTGTGATGAAATATTTAATTTTACTATGTTACTGTTTACGTTCTCTTTCACAGTAAAAGTTTCAGCCATTTTTACCAACATTCATTGGGTCCAAAAGTAAATAGCGATTTTGATTTTTAGTTATTAGGTGCCGACATAAAGAACCCGTCAGTTTTTACAGGAAATTAGACGCAAAGTATGGCGGGTTCTTTATGTCGGCACCGAAAAATTTTAGAAAACTTAAATTTATGAACAATTCTTCAAACTTTTTGACCGAATTGATCTATAAATTTGTTCTATTAACTTTTCGACTAAAATATCATTTCCATTTACTTTTTGACCCAACAATTAATTATGATATGTCTTTCCAAAGGGATTATGCAATAATTTGATATCAAAAAGTTTTTTTTTCGAAATTTGTCTTATCGATTTTGTTCACCGCTGTTTATTTATTTTTCCAGTAGTATTGTTGTTGCGCGGTAAATAAATATATTTGTATTGATTGAGACTTAATAATACCTATAAAAACTCCTCAACGTGCTAGAAGATCAGGTTTAGCTCAAGACAACAAAACAGCCGTTAATAATCTTGTTTTTTACTGCTACCTAACCTAACATTGGATGTTTCGACCTTAAAACAATATAGAATTTCCATGGTTTTTATTTTAAAACTTTCCTTAACATCATTGACAACTAATGAACACAAACATACTGTTTACAAAAAAGTAGAACGTCATACACAGAGCCATATTCAAGTTTCCAGACGTATTCATAGATGCACCAACTCCCATTGTCAAAGGATTCAACACATACATTGTCAACAATGTTTTATCAACTACACGCACTTCAACAGCTTCATTGCACGCAAAAATGGCTGATTTGAGCAATGCCACAGCTGCAATAACATCTCAAGTCTAAAATATTATCCATGTTAGTATTGGTCAATTTCTACTCAATCTAAAGCCAAAAAAATCAACATAACAACTTACGATGAATAAAACACGTATAATACACCCTTGAGATACTAGTGGATAAAAAATAACTGCGGTACTCCATGGTATTTATCGGTGTAAAGACTTCCATTTTCATCCCACAACGCTATCGCATCTTTTAGTCGAAGAAACTAGTCCCATGATACTGTAAATCCAACATGACCATATATAATGGATAATCCTTTAAGTACGCAAATGTTATCAATCGAAGAAAAATTCCAAACAGAATTGGGCTGAAAATGTATGGGTTATTCAATACATAATATTGTTTTAGTTTCACATAATAAAACCTTAAAAACACAAAAATAAACACAGTAAATTTAAATCGAAATTTTCAACCAGGTTTGCAAGAAAAAATAATTTTTCGCAACATACGTTTGCTTTTTGGGTACTGACACGATATGAATCTGCGTGGCGCGGATATATGATTTTAAAATTTGCGAATTTAAAAAACAACCAACATGAATTTTTAAAAATGATTTGAAATACATCGTACAAATTAAAACCCCTAAAAATTATTTTTTTTGTCATTCAACTCAAAATACCCGATTTTAACCGGTTGATCGAGTTTGCTATGTCGGCCCAAAAAGAGTAAGATTTTACTTGTTTTATCTATTGATTTCTTTAAATTTTCATTGAAATGTATTATAACGATTCTTTAGTTTTAATTTTTAAACATTTTTTGCTATTTCAGAAAGCCAGAAGAACAAAAAACCAGAAAGAAAACAGGCCTACGTGATCAGGAAGAACCAGGACCCAGTATTACAAAGTATAAAGACGATAAAAGTCGAGACAAAAATGCGGAATACAATCCGAGGAAGACAGTGGAGTGGAAGCCTATGAACAAGGGTGGAGTAAGCTAATCTTTTTAAAATTTCAATCTTTTTCAGTATCATAAATTATATGTTCGGTTTTAAATTTTACCAACAAATTTTTGGAAAACAAACCCATACAATTTCTAACATACTAAGCTGCCTAAAGTTCAAAAAAAAATAAAACACTCACCGTAGCACAAAAAGTTTTGTTGCAGAAGTTCAGTGTAACTGATTTGATCAAGCCTTAAGCTGATGCTAACATTATTGAGGATTATCCAAATTAAGGTGACATAAAACTAAAAATATGTTTATATATAACTCAAATAAAAGTTTAACAATTTTAACTACTTTAATAAACATATTTTAGGAACAACCAACGTACGTGATTTACAAAAAGAAAAGCCACAGAAAGTCGAGCTCGAAGAGCAACGAAGCTAAAGTAGTAGCGAACAAAAACCGAGGTACCATCACAATTGATCAAACTAATGTAAGATTTATTAACTTTGTGACTTCAAATTTTGTAACGAAAACCTTTTAAATTTTATAAGATATTGATTATAAAGTAATTATTCTTCATTTTCAGACAAGAGGAGACGAGTCCAAATGAGAAGCGTCTGGTACCATCTCTATTATACCAATATATAATACTGTATCATATTGTATTAGATAAAAAATAAATTATTGTATTCAGTGCCTGTACTATAGAAGCCAAAGTTCACTGTTTCAGATTCATGTTACCTATGACAATGTCAAGACGAGTAGTAATTGTATGACAAGTAGTTTAATAACATCGCTTCAAACATACGGCATATTTGCCAGAAAAAGGTAAGCTTGTTTAGACTTACTAATAATACGTTGATTAAAGATAAGAATTTACTATAAGATGTGTACTGTACATATAATTTAAAATTAAAATTTTTTTTTATTTAACTTTTGACCAAAAAACAATAATTTCTATTTAATTTTTGACCAGAAAATTATCATATGTCTTTTCAAAGAGATTATGCAATAATTTGATATCAAAAAAGTTTTTTTTCGAAATTCGTCTTATCGATTCTGTTCGCCGCTTTTTATTTATTTTTCCAGTAATTTATTGTTGTTGTGCGGTAAATAAATATATACGTATTAATTGGGGTTGGAAACTTTTTAAGACTTTTTGGTTATTATTGGGACAATTGTAGGCTGTTGTTATAGGCTAGGTCTAGAATCTGATTTTATAATAGGCACCAGATAACAACCTCCTGTTCCCTTTGTCAAATAGGATGCAGTTTAAAATTTTTAATGAAATTTTCGGAATTTCGTACCGAATTTCAAAGAAAATTTGCATACGGCGCGGTTTTTTATGTTCGGCGACAAAATAGGAAACATTACTGAAACATGTACGGAAATGGCATAGTAATGAAAATAATCGAGCCGGTAATTTATTCGGTTTTAGGTTACGGTATTTATGGCCAAAATGGCATAAATTAAGCCTGGTATTTGGGGTTTAGAACTTTTCGCTTTGGGTATGGCATTTTGTAAAAAACCAAAATTTTAAATATTGAGACATGTACCCCTGAAATTACCGTATATACCTCAGCCAGCTTGTTCGCCACGCTTTAAAATCGTCAAACGCATTATTCGAAGCCATAAAAAGCCTCGAAATTCGAGGGCACAGTCGTTTTTCGCGACATTCGAACAATAAAAAACACAGGGCGGGTGGAGAAGAATACGATACTTGGCGTGCCTAATAAAAAACCAAAATGCCGTCGAAAACGGGGCTAAATTATTGTAGGTTTTGGCTTTCAAGGAAGAGTTTGGTTAGGAGGATGATGGTAGTACTCGAGTAGGATTAATTTAAGGCCAGAGGTAGAACACAGTTACGATAAGGCTGGCGTAACTATGACTTTAGGTTATATTGAAGCTAAGCTACAAAAAGGGAGTGGACCAAGACAAGGTTGAAGTTAGGGTAAGGTAAAGCCAAGTTAGAGCTAGGGCAGGACTAGTGAAGGCTAGCGTAGGACTAGTGGAGGCTAGGATAGAAATAGTGACTAAGACAGGACTAGTGAAGGCTACGGTAGGACACGTGTTATAGTAGGACTCTGATCCAAAAAAGCCATCTACAGGCAATACAACTCTAGCCCCAGTTACTCTTGCCAACCTTGTATTATATAGCTTAAAATGTTACCTTGGCTTAAAAGTGTTGTACCGATGGCGGAAATGGGTATTTGATACCTTTTTAATTTGCGCCGCATCTTCCGGCTTCAAATTCGTTGCTTCATTTTTTCGAATTTTGAAGGTTTTTTTTAATTTTTGACCGAGAAGTGAGGTTTTCTTAAGCATATTTGAACCTAGTCAGGTTATTTTTGTTTTAAGAGAGAGGGTGGGGTAGGGCATTTTTTGTCTGTATTGATAACGGGTAGGACTTTATGGCACTTATAGTGATGGCTTTTTGACTTTTTTTTAAAATTTGTGTTGTGTATTTTTCAAAAAGATGATTTTCTTAATGGTTTTTTTCAAAGGCTAACGACTTTTTTAACTACAAAAGGGTCTTTTTTAAATTTTTGTGGTTTTTCTGCGTATTTTTTTTTAATTTCACTTTTTGACAGTAATTTCAATTTCAAAATTTTCATTATTTTTGTAAAATGTATAACTTCTGTATGACGAATCGGTAGGCAATGTAAAATTTGTTCGTTATGAAGAGGTGACGTTATATATGAGTTATGAATGCACTGTGTTATGTTAGCCGGAGATTCAAAAGTTTTTCGTTATGCAGTGGTTTTGTTATACAGGAGTCAGAGGTTCCTACTGTATTTTCTTCACGCAGGTTCTACTGTATTTTCAAAAATTTTTTTAAAAATTCACTCAAATTTTTACTTTTTAAAAAAAAAACTTAAAAACCAAACCAATAATGTAAAGCAATATTATTAACCAAATTGATTATTAATTCGCTTCCTGAAATATGTTAATTTTCTCGCTTCCAAGTTCATTTGAAAATTCGCACTGAATGTGAAAACAATAAATAATTTTTTATGATTTTGCGCAATTTTAATGTTATATGTCCTGCTTTTTTTGGGAGCTTAACAGTAGTTTTTCTATAGTATGGTTGTCATACTTGCAGGGCCGGGCGCGAGGGGGGGACGGGGGGGTACTCCCCCCCCCCAGAAAAAAAATTTTTTGGAAAAGTTGAACGTGGTCCCCCCCCTGTGGATTTTCGGAAAAAAAAATTTTTTGGACCCCTGCCTCCAGACCAAAAGTCCCCACCCGGCCCTGCATACTTGCTATTATTTACGTCTTGGTAAGCCTAAACTTTATATTTGTTTTAGTATAAAGCCCTAGCCCAGAGCCCTAGCCTAGAGCCCTAGCCCAGAGCTCTAGCCCAGAGCCCTAGCCCAGAGCCCTAGCCTAGAGCCCTAGCCCAGAGTCCAGGTCCAGATCCCTAGTTCAGAGCCCTAGCCCAGAGACCTAGCCCAGAGCCTTTGCTTTAGCCTTACAAAAGTTAGTCATTTTACTCAAGTCCGTACTTATAGGTTACATAATGCTCCAAGGTATAAAATAATGTTGCTTTTTTGTTTATTTGTTCAAAAAACTATTTATAGACTTAAAATCTGTTTGATCATTGATTTTCACTTTCCTAGACAGACAAAGAACTAAATTGTCCGTGATATTATACGTTTCGTAAAATTTTCATTTTTTGTTTGGATATATTATATAGATTTGTCATCATCCCTTATTTTTAATTTCGTCTGGGATCAAAATGTCATGAGGCACGTTAACTTGTAGTAGATTAAGATCTATATGATTGCCAAATTCCCGTTAAAGATAAACTTAAATGTTTCAAATTTCAAAATCGTAAAAAAAGTTTTTGTACATATTAATTTTTGTAGATCTGCAAGGGTGCGCCTAGCCCGGGATTGATTCAGGCTGGGCTGAAGCAATTTTGAAACGGGTCGGGCTCATGTGAGACCGAGGGCCGTGTCCAAACCAGTCATTTACTTTTTTATACAGTGTTTTGTCTGACCGGTCCAAGGACGGACCTAACAAAAAATTTTTGCGGACCCGACCCAGAAACCTGCGGATCCAGGCGGAAAAAAAGCGCCGGGCAAGTCCAATTTTTTTTTAATTTTAAAAAATTGTTTTAAAAATTGCATATAAAATAGATTTGTAAGACACTTTAAGCAAAAAAGCGATTTGCTTCTGGCTTTTTTTAAAAATAAAAAAAAATTTGCGGACCGGGCCTAAAAATTTTGGATTTAGACCGCACCCGAAAATCGCTGGACCGGACCGGTGAAAAACGCTCCGGACTGGTCTAAACACTGCTTTTATGAGCCTAATTTTCAAGCAAGAACGTTATTGGTTTGGCTGATCTAACTCATTTTAGTCTAAAACACCATTAAAATTTTATCCAAATCACTTCTTTTGATGAAAAATTGAAATCTTCTTTTCAAAGACAATATTCAAATTTCTCCCTTTCACATCCTCACTTTCGTATGACTGTTCGCTTTCACTTTTTACTACTTTACTATCTCTTTTTAACAAACAAAGTCCGTCTCCAAATTTTCCGCGTCCACTGAAACGACGTTTGTGTCCACAAACCCCCCCCCCAAATGTGACCAAACAAAGAATGGACAAAAGATATTCAGCAGAGGATAACAGGGCTGATAGCTCAAACATACGGAGGGATAACAGTCGTAGATATCCATGGGCGCTTTTTATTATTATATTATTGTTGTTGCAGTGGGAACAGATAAGGAAAGTGAAGGGAATTCGTATGTTTTTTGGTTATTCTTTTTGTCGGTTTTGTACCGTTTCTTTGTTCGATTCGGTGGGGCTATTTTTGTAGTTTTGACGTGATGTAATGGGGTACTGTCTTGGCATGTTTTAATTAAGAGTTTGAGTATGAGTTAACTAAGGAAGGCCTACTGTATAGGCACTTTTTGGGTATGGGTTAACTAAATGTGGGTGTTGTCTTGGCATGTCTTATACTTAGGTTGGATACTGTACGGGAAATTCTTGGGTACGGGTTAACTAAGGAAAGCTATTGTATAGGCAGTTTTTGGGTATGGGTCAACTAAAACTGGGTATTCTTGGCATGTCATACACTAAATTTAACTTTGGTTGGCTACTGTAATAAAATTTTTGAGTATGGGTTAAGTAAAAATGGGTGATGTCTCGGTATTTCTTGGGTTTAGATAAACTAAAGGTGGGTATTGTTTGGGCATAAGTCAAGCTTGGAATAACAAAAGAAGACTACCCTATAAGCTATTTTTATGTTAATATTGTACCTAATAAGAGTGTCTCATACTGAAAGGATTAGTATAGATTGAACCAAAAATAGCGGGACACTTTGTAGTTTAAAGATAAATCAAAAATGTCCCACTACTTTTGGTCAATCTACACTTTATTGGCACTGTATTAATTCTTTGATTTTTATTATTACCTTTTTCTCTCCTTTCCCCCCCCTCCCTGCTCCTCAAAAAAATAGCAAATCTTGCCCATGTCATATGTTTGTGGCCTAGCTTTGAATGAGGTTTTCAAAAATTACAGTATTTTTCAAAAAATATTGTTTTTTCTAAATTTGTTACCTGAAATCATGTTTACCCACCCTCAACCCCGTATTTTGTACTT